TCACGAAAATTGAAATCACCTTTTCATTAGACTGTAAACTCCATCTCTCTGGTGGATCATAAAGTCAGCAGTCGATCCAACAAAAATTTGTTTGAAATAAATTAATACATAATTGTACCCGCCGATACATAATGGACTTTCCACAATTAAAGTATTCGTGCATATTATTCATTCATCAAAGAAAGTGAATGAAGAAATGCTTGATAACTTTTAAATGTCAAACTTTTGTCTTGCAAGCATGAATACATGGCTTCTGACTGTGTTAGATGCCCTCTTGCAATGAACTGTTTGGATCAGTCATCTGCAATTAAAAGGTTCTTGTTTTCATCCTTGGAAAATACCCCTGTGAGTGCAGCGTGAAATCATGAATATACATTTCACCGCAGGTCTAACTGACCTATAGTCCTAGGAGCGGAAACAAGCAAATGGTTGATTAGTGTCCGTTGACATATAAAGAAAACAAAATGGCGGCGCGATTGATCGCTGTTTGTTCATTTCAATGTCTTATACTCTGACATAAGTTCACTGTTCTTGGAAGGCATTCCGACTGACCCGTCTCCGACAGTTTTTGTCCCGTGTAGGGTTCGACATGTTGATTGGTGTCTGAAGGCATCTTTAAGACCCAAAATGGCGGAAACCTTGCGATCAATGGGGAAGTCAGTCAGAGCCGACGGCATACTACCGAGCTCGCTGACATGTCCGATCGAACGACACGGAATCGTATGTCGCGTGGTGATTGGAGGTCGAGAGTGATTTACGCTATTTTGTGTAGATTATTCGAATAATTGAAATATGCTGTGGCAAAGTGTGACGAAGATTTAAGTATCAGCGCCAGTTTACGAAAGGTGTTTTAAAAGTCTATTTAAATAATCTTGTGATGTAAGTCATACTGAAAGTAAGTCATGTTGTAAAGTTTGTTTTCAATAAATGTGCCAACTTGAAGTCTATTGACCATAAAGACGACATAAAAGATGAGTAGTAAGAATACATAACATGGAGTATAAGAATAGATAAAATAAGATGGTAAATGTTCACCAGATCTAGTTTAATCATTTTAGTTGATAGAGTAGGACGGAATTGTCGGCCGAATTATGGTAAAGAAGCTGTATGTATCAAGAGTATTGGTATAAGATCCATTCTGTATGTTTCTCGTCTTGTGTGTTGATGTAGAGTGCTGGCCCATTTAACTCTGAATAAATTGATATCTTGCTGAGCAGATCGGTGACTCTAAACTCGCTCCTATACTCTCGGCATTTCACTTCCTGACAAGGTCTGACATACACATCAATCATGAAGGGTGTCCTAGTCGATAGGGAGGTAATGGAAGGGGGTTAAGAGATAGGATGGGGCCTTCCACTTCAATTGTGTATACCTATAGGTCTAGATAATGACACTGCATTCAAAGACCTTCGAGTTTCAAACGATTATATCAAAGTTAGTAAGGTTCCATACAAAAATTCAAGTGGATGCTTGTTTCGTTTTTTTTCTTCTTGTGGTGTAAAGATTGATGAATAGCAATGGTGCCGTAACATATTTTTTAGTGAAACAGCGTGCTTGATGATTTTAGACGTTCCTATCCTAAATTTTGAAAGGATGCATTTTTGTTCGTGTCATCTTCTTAGAAGTATGAATAAATGAGAATGTGTCTCTCCTGAGTGCATTAGTAGTCCTTTTTATTTATCAGATTTAGCTCAAGAAACGACCAGTCGCTCCTCAAATCCCTGTTGTAGGTACGCCTAAATAAGTATGATAAATTTGGACAACCTTGCAGGCAAATAAGAAAAAATAAAATGTTCTCACGTTCTCTACATGCTCTTCAAAATCTTAAATGAGAAATGTTATCACATTTTTTTCAGATCCTTTTGTGGGTCTAACATGTATGCCACAATTAGGTAGCTCTATTTCCTGTGCACTAAATTAAGCCAGAGGAACGAGATTTCGCGATGAATAAGAAGTTTTTAAAAACAATGAAGATTTCACTTGTTTCATATCTTGGGTAGACAGTAGCTATTCAGAAAGCCAACTCCATACTTAAGGACGGGTTTCGTCTTAAGGCGACATATCGAGTGCTTAAAACTAAATAACTTCTTGTCTTTCTAATCCCCTAAGTATGATTTTAGATTTTATATAAGAATACAAAACAAAAAGTGAGAATAAGGGGGAAACCCTCGTTTTCCCTTCCTGCGTGCTCCTGTGGTATGATGTCACTCTACATTTCATGCATGATATGCTTCAAGTCATAGGTCGTTACCCCCTACTGTGACTGTGATGCATATAATTTACTAAAGTGATTGTTGTATGACCATGTGGCCTCTCCCGTCGAACACAAACAAAATGATCAAGGAAAACAAAGGACAATATGACACGCTGCATGAACCAGTAGGCAGAAGGTTGTGAAGAGGCATCCTGTGGTGGGTTTTTATGATCGTTTGATTAATATCACGGATTGCCGGCGGAAATATAGTGTTACATTCTACGAAATACTCATAATACATGCATGATTTTGTTTCTTTAGCCAGGCTCTACCACAATGCATCTGTCCTCATTAACGGAGGGGCGGGTCCGGGTTTTGTAAGAAGGAGAAGGGCACAATTTTGAAGAAGAAACTTTACAGGAAGAAAAAGGCTATTACAATTATTATGTGCCTTTGGGGGGAATTTTGAGAAGGGACACATATTACTTTTGTGTATTTCAGTTTGCTTCATTGGTTAAAAGGGGGCAGAGGCTGAATGTGTTCCCTAGACACCCACTCCCTTAATTCTGATTTTGAGTAGTGATCAATGAAAACGCGTAATTCGAATCACAGAAGTACATCACATTTTTATCACCTAAACAGTTACTGTGTTAAACGCCGATCAATCTTAGTTTCTTAGTATTTCACTTAACTAAATGTCTTGTGTGTATAATTTATGCTTCACGCCATGGAATATGAGGGGTTTTGGCGCGCTTAATGCAGTGTTCCTGGAAACACACCCTGGCCATGTCTCTGCAGTGATTCTCAGGATCCTTATAAGTTGGAATTGAATAGTTTGAAGTGTTCTCTTTCTCTCTCTTGCTCTTCTTCTTTTTCTTTTCCTGCCATCTCAAACTCTTTCTCCTTCTCTTTCTCTCCCCCCCCCCCCCCCCCCCCCCTCTCCACCCTTACTCAAAAGGCACTCCTACTCATCAGTCAAAAACTCTGTAAATGTTTAAAGGGATAAAGCAGTCTACAGGTATGTTCTTGCCGTAGGGCTGACAACTTTACAAGTGAGAAGGTCGTATTTCAACTGAAGTGAGAGAAATGGATGAAAATTAAAATATCTAGTGCACTGTTTTATTGTCACTCCTGCAATACCATGTAGCGTCCGAGGGAAGAGGTGTGTCCTCGACGCGGTAAGGTTATTCGCATGGGCAGGAAACACCGTAAAGATATTTGAGTTGAAGGTCCCAATGTGAATACTAATCTATATTTCCTTCAATCAATAATTCATCAGGTGGGAGATCGACCTAGATAATTCCCAGATCTAGGACATGAAATTAGCTTTCCAACGTGGTATCATGTACTTCTTACTCTATTCGCGTAGGGACATTGCAGATTTTACCATTATATTTGTTCCACTAATTAGACATAACTTTTAGGTTAATATCCTCTTTTAACCAGGTAAATTAATTATTGTCGACTCATGGTGAAAATATATTCAATTACAAACTGAGGATTCTGACATGTCATGCTATGACAGACAAGTTCCGTCAATGTCAAATGGATAAGCTACCTTTCCTTTTCACCGAACTTGCCCCCGTTTGAAGGACCAAGCTACCCGCAAATCACGTGTAAATACCCTTGGTTGGACCTTTCCTTTTCCTGAGCTCATGTTTTCAGCATGACTGCACTGCCGTCCGTTCAGCCTCGAGAACGCGACACAGTGGAAAACATTTAATGGAAGGAGATTGGCCTGATATCGATTGACTACTTCGATTTTCCCTGCCTTGAGTTGCTGAAAACAGGGGAATAACTAATGCTTTGCTCATGTAGCGCGTTTGTGCACCTGCATCGCGCAATTTTTCAGAAATGTTGCTCTCTTTTATCGGAGAAGTAGCCAACGGACAACAGAAAGCATTTTTTGTTTTGCCCTTGAATCTGAGGAGACAACAATTTCATTTGCATTTGACAATCCAGTCCCAAAAATTAGCTGGTAATTTATGTAAAAGCAGTCTCATTTTAGGTGTCCGTTACTTGTAGCCATGGGCATTGACGTAACATTCATAACCTACCAGTTTGTCCAGAAAAAGATAGATAGAAGTGATATGTCGGGAAAACATTCCTAAGATATTTTTAGAGTTTTATTTTTTTGTCTCAAGTGTTTATTTCCTCTATGTCTATCTATTTTTAACTTAACTCTGTTCTATATGTGATTCTAGTAGATGCTAATGATTTTTGTATCTCCTACGGTTGTTTTACCATTTCTTCTTCACTAACTTGTCTATTTTTGACAACCGCCGCAAGACTATATTCTTATATGTACATGTATATTTTAATTTTTGGGAATTCTAATTCTTGTTTAGGAGACTTGATTGGTCTTTCTTTATAAGACACATAACCACATAGGGAAAGAACTAAATCGCTATCATAATGGATACTATTAGATATATTTCCATAATCATAAATTATTGATGGGATTGGAATGGAATTTCTGATAATATGAATGTAGTAGGAACTGCAATAAGACCAAATATAAAAATAAGGCTAAATTTCAGAAAAGATTGGGTCCTTTATCGGAAACCTTAAGTATTCATAAAGAGGATATTTGTATAAAAGCGATGAGTGTTTTTTCAAAGTTGGGAGCCTTTAATGTTGGAGATTAGAAATTCGGCACCCTTGGTCTTGTACGTTGTACACAAGCATATTGTCAGCCATATCTATGATTGGTCAATTGCTTAAGAAGTTAACCAGAGGTGACACTCATTAACAAAATATTTGTGAAACTCACCCATGATTCCTACCTTATTCTTCATTACAGTTGGTGGTCAGAGGCATCATGCTGGAGCGGACTTCGCAGCCAACAATGAGCACAAGATCTACGACGATGTCGGAGCCGGTGGTGGAGAACTCGGTCAGTTACGACGACGTTTGCTTGCTGAGACATCAAGTCCAGGCATGGACTATTTTACGGATTTTACCAGCGGCGTACACGAAGTGGAGATGAATTGTACCCCTTCAAGTAAGCCCTCATTTATTTATTTTGCTTTAAATCTATAGTATAGAAGAAGGCTTCGATGTCGTCAAATGTGGCGGTTGCGGCTTCCGTTAATACAATTAGGATTCAATCGAATATGTAAAGAGAGAGGGGGAGTTGAAGAAAGAGTAAGAGAGGGAGAGGGAGGTCGACGAAAGCAGACGAAAATGGAGGGCGTCATGTATATCGTTAAAGAAGAAAAATAAGATATTTGGCACAACGTATTCATGTGTAATCATGGTAGTGGTGGCGTAGATGGTTTATTACTTTTCATTATACACGGTTTGTCAAACCAAGTTAAACAATACCGAGCCATGGGATACAGACGAGGAAGGTATAGCTTCATAAATACATAACTCACACGTTCGTGCCAAAGCAGGTGCATACAGCCGAAGCAGGAAACTGAAATATTGGCGGAGTAAAATCTCGTTGATTACGAGCCCTTCTCGAAACGCGGGTGAAGAAGACAAGGGTTAGCGATATTGATACAGATGCCAGGGTTTTAGCGAGTTGTTAGGGTGAACCTTTAACATTTCATGGCATCTCCCTAGCCGGATGCCCGAGGATGGTGTATTATTATCGGGTCATCTTTATTTTCTCTCCCTCCGGAACCGTAAAGCTTCAATGTCACATGATTGCGCACTCGTTATCACATTTTAAAATTAATGATGGTTTGCTAGGAGTAATGGAAGGAGTAGAAGTGTGTAAATGTTGGCAAATATATATTTTATTTAATGTACATAACTCCCCTCCCCTCCCTCTCTCTCTCTCTCTCTCTCTCCCTGTTATCTTCATCTTGTTTTTGTTTTTTGGTCTCTCTCACTTTCGCATCTCAATCTCTATATCTCTCTCTCTGTCACCCAAACTCTTTGTCTACCCACCCAGTGTAGATCCTTATCTAAATGTCTCTCTCTGACACATTAACTCATTCGCACACTCTATCCTAAGGCTCCTTTTATTTCAACTGTCGTTCTTGAAACTATGCATGTTTTCATGCCATTCATGATATCTCTTGTCAATGACCATTTGTGGGGATTATTCTTCCTTTCTTTACTCTCAGTCGATATATGTCCTTTCCACCTTACGCGGGATCATAAGCTCCATTTATTCCATGTAGGCCTCCTCCACAAGCCAATATTGTCGGATTTAGCTGCATAACATATTTTGTGACAATAGTACACCGGCGTAGCTCGGTATGACACAACACTTAAAATTGTTAGATGTAGATCCGGTATGTTCATATCTTCGAGAGACGAGCAAAGAAAAGTTCAGGCCACCGTTCACCTGTAATCTGATATGGCCGCCATTACCCTGCGCAAACAGAATAAAAGAAGGTGCAAGACCATAGGGGGCAAGCCATTGCAAACAATGCCACACAAAACTGTGTTTTCTCTGAGTCGCGTTTCCTAAGAGATGAATGTCTCTGGGGATCGATGAAAGAGAAGGATAGATATGAAGAAGGCGGTACAGAGAGATAAGAGAGAGATTTTGAGTAGGAAATTTAGGTATACCAAAGATGGTACAAGAAGGGAGAGTTATAAGATGATGAGTAAAGAACATGGGCGAGTTAATTGTCAAGGGAAGTGAAGGGAGAAAAAGTGGTAGTTGTGATTAGGTATTACGCAAAATTAATTTAAGCAGAAAGGAAAATGATATTATCTTTCTCTAATGTACATATCCAGGGATACTGAAATGCATTTTTGCGTGTTGTATGCCAGAAGTTAATGATGAAGCTGGGAGATACAGCAATTCAGACTAATGTAGTTGAGATGAAGGCGGTATTATTGATATGTATGAGTGTATACTTTTGAATATGCTAGTAATTCATTGGAAAAATGACGAAGAATGATTTTAAAGGGAATGATTGGTGGGGAATTGTTTAAAGCCAACAATGCTATGCAACTACCAACGAAACACCGGGATGTGAGAAAATCGACAAATTTTGCTGGCAGTGTAAATGCAGCTTTTGTCAGATTGTTGTTTACCGATTCCATTAACATTTATGTATCATTTAAAGCTCGCTGTAAATTTCGCTACATTCTAAAAGAATTTATAATCCGTCGTCAGTGTACCACACTGCCTTTTGATGTATCTTACTTGGTTACAGTACGAACATGTATGTTCAATCTTGGTGGTGTATCTCCGAACTAAGCCTTTATTAATTGCAGTATCGTTTATTATTCGAAGCTCCGTGTGTGTATTGCTTCTTCAAAGAAAAGCAATCCCTTGAAATGAATCTTTAAGGCATCATCCCTGGATAAACTCGAGCATCAATCATTTGCACGTGAACGCAACGCTACCAGCAAGGTCACGTGATGTGAGCTGAACAAAGAAGAGAGTCCTAGGGATACAGCTCATGAAGTATGCAACGAAATACGAGGGTAGTAATACATAATGGTAAATGTAGAAGAATAGAATTGGATTGAAAGATTAGTAATGTTGCTTTTTTCCTACTTCTCTCCATGAAGTTGACAAGAGCAAAGTAGAGTCCATGAAATGTTTTAGCAGACAAGCAAGTTTTGATGGATAAGACAGTTAAGACGACGTCATTGTTGTCATTCTATTTTCCTCCCTCCTCCCCTACTCACCCCCTCCCCCCCCCCCCCCCCCCCCGTTTTTCATCAATGGATGATATGTTCCTTCTCTACTACTACTACATGTACCACCATGTATTGCACGTTCGTTTCTTTCAAACATTCTCACATTTCTTTCTTTGTTTATACGTCGGTCTTCCTGTCATCTCTCTATTTCTCTTCTCCTCTCTGTCTTCACATGTAGGTTAGTTTTCATTGGTCAGCATGTTAATAGTCATTTCACCCTTCCTTTTATTTACCTGTCATCCAGCATGCCACTCATATTTACTTTCATCAACGATCATTAACAAACAAAAAATTATCACAAACAAAGCAGCAAAATCGAGAGGATAAAGAGTCGTCATGATATTGTTTTGAATGAACAGGACCAATTGTGTATTATCAAAGAATAATGCTCAAGAGTAAACGGCAACATGAATATCTTGAATAATGTGTGTCCTCTGACAGTTGTGCCTGTCCCATACCTATTTGTGTGGGTTTTTTAAAAGAAAGTTACTCTGCTACATCGTAACAGTTTAAAGCCCTCCAATATTAGAACTGAGCATGAATTATGCGGAGGCTTTTTGGGATGCTATTGCTAGTCAATGAAGTATAGGTGATACCTCCGTCACACCACCAAACCGACTCCAAATCGATCAATCTTTAACCATTCGAGGTATGTAACTTCTAATTTCAGTCTCATCGGTGTGACGGACGTTTCAGAAAAGAGTTCCAAGTTAATGTCCCTCTTTACTTTAACTTTTTCCCGTTCTTTATCGTTTGGTCATCTGATTCATAATGTACCTGTGACCTGTCTAAAAAGTGGCTGACAGTAAGCCAAATGATCGTTGCCTGCTTGCTTCCATGTGCTCGTGGGGCATGTAGAGTCAAGATATTTGCTGGAATCGTAATCAACTGTTGCATATTCACCCAAGAGCAAACCAATTCTTGGAAAAAAAGAAGAGGACTTTTAAAATTCACTTAATACGACCGCCTACGGTTGTGATTTTTCGGCTGAGCAAGGACGATTCAAATTGTCATGAATGTCGGCTAAATTTAATGCAGTCGAGAACGAGGGTAAGGGAATATTCGTCTCGGCTTGCGGCGTGTAAACTGATTGCTAGAACTCTTTCTAAACAGTTAAACGTGGATCCTATATTTATATTTAAAAGAAAACACTGTATTTAAAGCCGTAGGTCCTGATTCTATAACAAGCGTTTGTTTTGAAATTTCTGTCAAAAGCTAAAGATAGAATGGGATGTTGCCAAGAGATTGAATTATTAACCACACACTACCATTGGGTACTTGTTTACGAACAGAAAAAATGATTCTGCTGCATTTGTCTCAAAGAATCCAATAGTAATGCTCTAAAAAAAAATCACTTGCAAAGCATTAATCTAATCATTTGAAAATATCCTTCTTCGGATGTAAGTCCTTTGTTTAGTTTTTGTAATCCTTACCCGTCTTTTGATGCAATTTTGTATTTATTTACTTATTTTATTTTCATACATTTCTAATTCTCCATAAACCTGTTTATTTTTGCTTTTCATATTTTGTATAGACCTATTTGATATCCTGCTACTGAACAAGATTTTTAGTATTCCTAATGTAGTGTTATTTATCACCATTATATTCCTATTTTGCCGTTCGATGCATATGCTTCAATATTGTTGCCAGTGTTAAGATGATAATATGCACTTGTTGTTACCGTAAATGAGGAGTTGGGCTTAAGGAATTTATAGTTTTGAAAACTCAAACATCATTCGCTTCATATATAATCAAGATAATGAAAACTATTCACGTAATTCATGTCTAGACAGGACTCCAAATCAAATGGATGTTATCTTGTCGTACCCAGAATAAACCCTCACTGCTTACGTACATGTACACATTAATAATAACAATTCTCTGCACAGCTATATTTAAGTAGCCTTTTCATTCGTGGAATATTAATCCCGAAATAAAAAGAAAACCAAGCATGCACAATGTATTCACGGTTATAATGTGTGAAATTGTATTTAAATGTTTTCCTCAATAATTGATCAAAAGTCTATACAATGGCTCATAATTTGTTAATCTGTGTGATGAGAATAATCCCGTTTAGTTCATTAAAGGGCATAGTCTAAACATGCTAAATTTGATATCGATAATAATATTAACTCAACAAGCTTTTCCTTTCTCTCTCTCTCTCTCTCTCTCTCTCTTTCTCTTTGTCCTATGTATTTTCTTCGTGCTTCTCTCACTTGGTAACATTCTTACATTAGCTTCTCTTTCTTTCTGAGCACTTTTCCCGTTGAGGCTATCCAATAGATATAATCGTATCTGGCTATCAAAACATTGACCCAAATTAAAAGATATTCTTACCAATACCTAGGGCTCTGACATATCTATGGGCATCTCGTTTTGAGGTTG